GCTCGATTCCACTGAAAAGTAATAACGCCGGGGCAAATACGCGATTCCAATAAACCCAATCGAAATGACCTAAATAAAGTTTTCCAATAACAGTTCTATGTAGGTGCATTCAGTTCAGTGAATGTGCTGGAAATTATCGGAAATAGACCTCCCTTGGGAAACATCCTAGACGATTTAGCGGATTATTGGACCCGACTATTGATGGTTGAAGCATTGTGCTGCAATGAAGAAAATCGCAATTTTTGTCATCTGAAGCCTTATAGAAATGCACTTAAACTCTATAAATATAGACACTGTTTACCAGGTCTAAAGGAAACATTTCGAAGAACCCTGCAGTTATCCAGAAATATTTATCTTGCTGATCGATCAGGCTTCAGCCTTATTGATTTTAAGGCTGGTCAACCGAACAACTGGTCGCTGGATGTTTTTTTAATGCAGATTTCGCTTGAGTAACGTAACAAGTTCCAGTGAAATGGTTATTCTTCGTAATGGCTGTGCATGTGAATTTGTGTGTTTTTATGGGTTTTTTCCTGCGGAGTTTCTTACCCAGCATCCGGCGAAAACAACGCCATACAACGCCAATTCTTTGACAGAAATGAGGAAGAAAATCGCTGCCATCAACTGGAAGGATCCACATATTACATAGATGAGGCTCCATAGTATCTGCGGTGCGGTCCACAGTGATGTGCATCCTAAGACCATTCCGCTCTGAAAATAAATGAATTTTTTAAATTTAAATGGAACAATCAGCGCTGATTGGTTCAGTCAGAAAGCCATTGCGAAGAGCAAATTTTGAAATTTACGTAACTCGAGTACCTCGGCCGTGAACTTGACTTTCTCGGCTGCATTCTCTCGGCGATCTCATTATGAATGTGCTCGTTCTGTTTTCTCGCTTATTGATCGCCGGCATATCCGTGTCGCAGTTGAAAAATTGATGAGTGGAAAATTCAATATTGTTTCTCGAGGTTCATGGTGTTTTTTCCATTTTTTTTCAGAAGCGCTATCTTTTCATGAGGATTTGACTGTAGTTTTGCCGATGGACCATGGGGGGTAAGCAGCTTTGCGAGTGTAAATGGTAAGTAACCACTATGACTAGTGTGACTGAGAAAATATTGTTTTTCACTTTTTTCTCATTCGAGTTGACACGGTTTGTGTATTACTGTCATTTCGGAAACCGTAAACATTTTGAGAAAATGTTGAGAAATTTTCTAGTTTTGCTGTTGCCCTTGAGAAACAGCGATGGATTGAGTCCTGCTTGTTTGTCTCAGCATAGTTTGAATATGGTTTGTTCATTCCTGCAAATTGGGAGTTTCTAAATCGGTTCAGGGAATTTTGAGAAATTTTCAAAGCTTGGTGTTGCAGTCTGCAACCGCGTTTCTTCGAATTTGCCCCGAAGGTGCCGCGTTACGGAGAAATTTAATTTTTTTCTCATTCGAGTTTACACGGCTTGTGTATTACTGCAACTTCAGAAACCGTGAGCACCTTGAGAAAATGTTGAGAAATTTTCAAATTTTGCTGTTATATTCTGCAACCCCGTTTCTCGTAATTCGCCCTTGAAAAACTGCGACAGATTGAACCCTGATTGTTTGTCTCAGCATAGTTTGAATATGGTTTGTTCATTCCTGCAAATTGGGAGTTTCTAAATCGGTTCAGGGAATTTTGAGAAATTTT